GCAGCATTACTGCGGCAAATGAATGCTACGATCAGAAGGTACTGTGCTTATATAGCTACCACGAGAATTGTGGCATATAAGCCGCACATCTGCTTCAGTACCAACGCAGTATGCCCGCTCTTCGAGCAGTTCAATTGTCCCTGAAGTAAGCTCACCTTGAAGATATGAACAGGCCCATCGACATCCAAATTCTCGATATAATTTCCAGCCAAAGCCCATTCTCCTAGGTGAGGTAGATGAATGAGAATTTCTTCCGGCACCTGAATAGCAGTTTTTTAGCGCAGGTTGGCTTGGTGGGGACATTTCCCCCAGTTCCCCTCCGTACTACAGTTGCCTTCTGTGGGGACCTTTAAAGTCTCTTGTAAAGCTGTGCAGTAGCGGGAGCTTCGTTCACACTTGACATGGATCTACAGGTCCACCAAGGTAGGACGTGTAGTTAGACAAGAATTAGCAAACGAGTCAGCAAACGTGCAGATGCCCCTCCCAAGCCCAACTGTGCCGTAGTTTTGATCGAAGCACGGCGACGAAACCTAAGGGGAGTACAACCTTGAGCATACAAGAGGCAACTAACTTGTTTGATTCGATTGAATCGAAGATTGAGCCAGCAGAGTTGCTCGCATTCGACCAGTTGAGGTGGCAGCGTGCTGATCCAGTTATTTTCTAGATCAAACAATGCCAGTCTGAAAATGCGATTTCATCACTTTTATGAGGTAACATTCCAGTAAAATGAGCTCAGACAACGGCAGTTTTTTTCATTTTTTCCTGCTTTCCTCAGGACTATAGTTACCGAGACGCTATGGGCTGATTTCTTTGATTGACACTTAGGTTTTACTTTTGGTTCTTTTTAAATATGATTTTGATTGGCTGGCGCTTTTTGACTGGTTAGATGTGTTCCGCAGAAGCCTTATGCTTCAAATTCATCAGTGCAGAGCTGCTTTTTTTTTACTTTTATGGCGACCGGATCAGTTGATAAATTGTGGCCTTCTGTTCAAACAAAGTCCCAGGATCAATAACTGGTTACTCAGAAAGTAAATTAGCAGAAGAGAAACATTATGTTATTAGACGTACATTTCTAAAATTTTGGCTAATTATAGCATTTGAAGCACTTACCGCCTTAATAGCCTCACACTTGGTGGAATTGTCTGAATACAGTTGGACGAAAGATTCAATTTCTGAAGATTTGGCAATTGAGCGATTGAGGTAGGAAAGACAGAAAGACGGTTTGATGACAGATCGAGGCATGTGAGCGATGTGAGCCGGCTCAAATCATCCAACCAACCAACTTGAACTGGTGACTGCTGAAATCAACGAAACTACAGGTTTATCTGAGAGCCAAGTCAGAGTATAGCATCATTTGGAGAAGCTTGTTGTATTTGGTCGCTGGGAGTAGGGTTGTATTTGGTAGGTGGGGGTCGTATCTGGCTTTGAGGGAAATTGTTCTGAGCCAGGAAGTAATTTTTCCGGTTGCTGGCTTCTCTCGCTCTAAGTTGAACGGCTACCGCGCAGGCACATCGTTGGGGGGAGTCCCTCATAAGGCTGGGAGAAAGGTAGAGAGTATGGCCTTGCGGTTGGCATTTAAGTGTTGATACCACAGTATTACTAGCTATTCGATAGCATTATCACGTTTTACTTATAAAAAAATTTGCTGGTTTTAAAATAATGAAAATCAGCTTCTTACATCAAGTGTGACTTTGACACGAAGCGAGTTCCGCCTGAGATTCAGCTGTCGTACCTCCCATGATTCTGAACACAACAGCGATTCGGGAAGGAGTGTCAGCTTTCGATCGCTCAGATCGCATACATTCCGTTGCCCACTCTGGAATTGAAATCTACAGAAGGTATTCATGAAAAAAGGAAAGATAACGTGCGCTAGCAAAGTGCTACCAGCTCATCAAAACATGGTCAGGAATATTTGGATAGCAGTGCTAGTCGAGTCGAGCTCAGGCAAGCTCACTTCCGAGCCATCACGCGGACACTGAACGCGTCGGAGATCGAAATTTGCACCAGAACTCGCCTTGGTTAAGGACGAAAGGCTTATTTGGGCAACGGCTGATTCCTGCAATTCAGCTTGAAAGGCACCTTTTCACCTGAATACCACTACGATTCTGGAGAGAAGCAGATTGCATGGCGCATCCAAAGCACGGATCAGTGCTCTTGAGTTCTGGCCCTGCTCATCATAATCGTTCCTTGATATGCACAGACTATTGAGCATCAGGGAAGCTGCACTTTTACTTGTCTTCCAAAGGCAATTACGGCACTTGGCAAAAGCTGCCACAGAGCGCTGCAGCGTGACACGGCGCCGCAGCGGACTTTCTGTTGCATGAACGGGGTCTGCGCAGCAAGGGGTGATTGGGGAGCGTGGAAGATTTTAGTTGGTTTAACGCGTTCTGTATCTCCATTCCTGCGCATGTTAGGACGGGGAAACCGCTACGCTTCGACAGCTGGGGCTGATAGTCACGCACACCCAAATTATGTGTGATCGTACCATGTGTCTTTAAACCTTTTATGCTTTTATTCACAGAAATTCAAGAGTTAAGAGAGAAGCTATCACAAGAATGCTACTTATGAGCTGGGCACACCAGACGGAAACTGAACCCGCCCTCCACATGGTTTCGGCGATTGCGCTACCCATTACGCCACCAGAGCCGCTGTTTCCCTCTGAGCCAATATGAGAAGTCTGACCTGTCGGCATCTAGTCGACCAAAGAGCGAGAGCTTCTGGATCGTCAAAGTGCAGTAGAATGACGGAAGCAGAGTGCTGAATACGAAGACATCGACCGCGTCGTGATTCGCACACGTCGACACGACATCGTGACAAGCTCACCACGTCGTCTTCACCTGTTCCTGAAGACAAATATACATGTTCGTCCTATCTCTGAATCTAGTAAACACCAGCTGAATCCGAAGAAACTGAAGACTTCAAGCGACTTTTCATAAACAGGATACAAATTTGCAAATTGCATAATGCAACTCCTGCTAAGGTGCTGGACTTTTTTCTGAGGAGGACCAGGCTGGTTCTATGGGCGGAGCCAATCAATCTTTGCGCCTGGCCCATTGGTGCGCCTCTCCCATGAGACGGTGACCGTTTATCCCATTGAGAATAATGGGTGGCTATCTCCGCCCACATGATCAACTTGGACAGCACCTTTGAAGAGGATCATATACTCCATGAATATTCACCTTTTTGTATCCGAAGACTTCCATTATAGAGGAGACACTTGTGACGACTCCACCGGTGTACAAGCTTTCCTCGACGAACATCACAATTGGCGATCAAAATCTCCGATCGAGCAATACTGTTTGGCTGCAGTACAGGACGTCCTAGAAGGAATTCTTACAGCTTTCATTCGTTCCGCCAATTGTTGGCATTCCTAAAAGCGCGCGGCGAAAACGAACTGCAGCTTTGTGGTACGCACATGCACCTCTACAGCATGCAAAAATGGAGCCCACGGCAGGGCACATCGTTGTTGGGGAATCTCCAGGGGGGGGGTCGCATTTGTCCGCTAGGAGAGGGGATCCATTGGAGCTGAAAAAATTTTGTTTTGATGGTTGATTTTTTTCTTGTTTCAGGGACGCTGTAAAGGGGAGGGTCGTATCTGGTCGTTCTTGGGAGGGGGGCATCGTATATTTGGCCTTCTAGGAGTGGTGGGAGAGTGGTGGCTGACTTTTCCTGATTTTTCCTGTTTCATGCGTAGTATATGCCCCTCCCCCGCTCGGCGGCTTGATTCGATGAGGTGGGACAGAGAGCCGGAGGTGGGGGCGGGTCGTACCACCCCCGAAAAAAAGGGGGGGGGGGGTCGAACGGGCTCGACCAAAATCCCCAACCAATGATGTGCCCTGGTCCACGGCTAGTAAGAGCCTATTGTTTGCTACTCAACGCACAAGTTCTTATTGCGAAAAACAGAGAAAGTTTAACGAGGGGTCAAAATTTTCAACATATTCGATAGAGCTGCTTTCATGTCAAAAGAAACGAATACAAACCGAGGAAAAATGCGATCAGATGCCGAAATCGCAGCTCTGTGCCTCTAGTTCGAATGGCGCTCTCTGAGTGCCCTAGAGATGAGAGGAACTCGCGAAGTATATACAGCGGTCGAGCCGATGGTGATAGGCTCCTGAATATAGAGCAATGAAATATAGAGCAATACATCGCAATATTTAAGCTCTCTTTTACACAGAGTATTTAGTTTATCCACCAGTTTCCGCTGCTGACCCTGGGCGTGTCAAGCGGGTTGGGTTTGGCGCGGCGCCAGCACTTTCCACCAATGTGTTGAAAGCGGGCAAGCGACATGCAGTTGGTAAAAAGAGGCTGGCGCCGTGCCGCCCTGCTGACACGACCTCAGTGTCAGCGCAAAACCGCACTGTATGTTTATTAGCCTTTCCGTGGTATTCGACCTGCCGCGCCCTGCACATGCAGTAGCCTCTCTCGAACGCTTGCGTACTAATCCCATTACCCTCCCTTACATCAATACTCAGCCACGTCTATTGTGTTGACGACTAACTTCTCAACTAGGTTCAGGATATAATTGGTTATTTAAGCCATTAGAAGCTAGTAAATCCACAAGAAAAGCCATTCTTCGGTTGAATTCTAAGGCGATTGCGTGACTTTCCCGTCAGGTTTCCCCCGAACGCCAGTCCAGCTACGATGGATCGGTACGGTAATTAGCGATGTGGACGTCGGCCCATATTGTGGCGACGATCTATCCAATCACTCATGCGAATGGAACACCCGGCAGACAAAATTGTTTGTTCTCTGCGACTTTCTAGGAAACTGTCAGGTCTAGAAATACTACGTAAGTTACAGGATTGTAGCGTTATCGGGCGTAGTTCGGTTCGGTGGGGGCACAAAGCGATACTCAGCGAAGGTTACACAGGCCACCTTGTGGAAACCTGCCAGTTCTTGCGACCAAAGTGGCTCACTTGCACCGTTTCACAAGGCTTTACTGGCCTCATCAATGTGAGACTTGCTAGTTGCCAGAAACCCACAAAAGAAACTAAGGGATCAGCAAAGTGCCCCTCCAAGCCGAAAAGCATCCCCAAAGAATTGTCCAAGGAGGGCACGCTTTGCACAAGAGATTTCACAGTGATTTACAGCCAACTATCGTACCTCTATTCATATCAAGGCCAGAGGTCCAAGATGAAAGTGCTGGTAAAGCAGCTATTCAAGAGGCCCACAGACTCACCGGATATGCAGATTCCCTATCTGTAGGTAAATTGAGTCCACATCATAGGCTTTAGCCAAATCGGCAGCCGTTGTCTCCAGCGAAATCGTCGCTAGAGCGCTACGGTCGCCCTCTGGAGAAAAAAGACGAATACGACCGCTTGATAACAAGGTGGGCGATTGTGTCTGAAAAAGAGAAAAGTTGTTAAGGACGGTGGTCATGGAATAGTGGAATAGTCCTAGGCTGGAGTTTCTGGCTACAAAGTCTTTTTCGCTGCAGACGTTGGGACGTGTCAGGGGGGGGCTGGTTTCACCGGCACGAGCCCGTTTGCCCCAATTGTTGCCGTTTGCCCGCTTCAACAAATGGCAGGAGCCGCGCCAACCCCGTGCCCAACATTTGCAGCGAAAAAACGAGCCCTTTCCTTGACACATTGACACGTTTTTTTTCATTTAGTGACTTCTAACACTTTGATGACACTAGTAAATAGGGTCTCTCAAGTGACGGGGCCCTTTTTCCAAACGCTTGGTTATAAACATTGTCAGGGTGCCTGCGTTGACTACAATAAAGTGTGATTCGCACTCGTGGCACACCTCTAGAAAATCGTCAGAAAGTTTGGAATAATCCAAGTATCAGTCCGGTTTGAAATCGGAGGTCAAAATCGACGTCCTATTCGATCAAATCGAATTTCGCATCGCATCCAAACGGCAAAATCGCAACGGCGAGTGCGCTATAGCCCTTTCGACGTCACCCTTTCCAATTTTTTCAGTTTGTCTGCTCGCATTTTTTGTTTTTTTTTGTTGTGCTTGTTTTTTTTTGCTGCTCTACTTCACCTATGGGAATTGTTGTTTCACTCATTACAGTTTCGCCGACGATAAGTGTCATGTGCACTCTGGAAAGTCATAAGTTCCATTTCTGCCGAGGGATAAACCCTGTGAAAACGAGAAATGTCTTTTGGAATGGGGTTTCTCATCAGGCGACCCGTCAATCAAACCTTGACGCCGGTATCTCCACTGCAAGGCACGGCTTTTGCCGTGTCGGGTGTCGAACCTGTGCTCTTTTTGCCAGTTAGTGCAGACATGGGCCAACACTCTTCAACACAGACTATTTTTGCCTTTGTTTTTCGTTGACTTGTTACATAAACCATTCACTCAGGCACTAACCGAAGGACCCGGCTTCACCGCACATTCGCTGTACTGCCGATTCATCGCATCCCACGTTGCCACATCAGCGCAGATCTGTAAGTTTCCTGATCCTTTCTGCTTTCTAATAGAGAGCATGAAATCATCGATACGTTTTATGTGAACCACGAGAGAACTAGTAGTAGTAGAATCCTCCTTCACGGACGTTGTAAAAGGGGAGGGTCGTACTTGCTCGTTGTTGGGAGGGGGGAGGGGGTATATACTTTCTGGCCTCTTGGGAAAGGTGGTTAACTTCTCGATTCGACAGCCATATTTTAGGGAAAAAGTAGGGAAACTTTCGGGAAAGTTTGGAAAAGTGGAAGGAAGTTGGGGAAATCTGAGGATTGGTGGAAGGGAGGGGTCTTATTTTTCTCAGTCAATCCTAGTATTAAGTCTGTTAAATGAATCTCTCCGAGGAGATACTCTTCAGCACGAAAGTGAACACGGCATCTCATACGGTAGGCATCCTCAGCGAGCGGGAGGTCGTATTTGGTCTATGAAGGGAGGTGGTCGTATATTCCTTTGGGAGTGAGGTTTTCGACCGT